TGGCTTTTGGGGCTTTTTCTTCCATGGTGGGTAAGAAGATGGAGAGGAGAGATGCGAAGACATGGAGAGGATTAATTTGCACGAGATTCATTTATGCTTAATATGGTGAGAGGATGCACAGAGGTGGGGTGTGAAATGCAAATATATGGGAAGGAGAGAGAAAAAGGAGGACGAGACGATGAGAAAGGGGATGACAACCAATCTTATGGATACCGATTCATATCGGTTGATACTACTGGTAAGTATATATTTTTATTAAGTTGAAATGGTATAAAATTCAATTTTTTTTTAATCAAATTTCATTCAATTCAGTTAAATTATGATGTATCAATCAGTATTTTGACATACTAATTAGTACATAAAAAATTAATAAGTACAAATCAGTTCAAATTTAAAGAGTAAATTTTATTTTTGTCCTCAACTTTAATGTTTTATATAATTTTTATCTTTTAATTTTTTTATCTACTTTTTTTAGTCAATTAACTATGAAAAATATATTTTTTTAGTCCTTTTATTAGTTACTCCGTTGAGTTTGTTCAAATATATATATTTTTAGTCCCTTAACTTAAAGTAAAAAAATGAAAAATATGCATATATTAGAAGTTAAAAAATTAAAAATGTGTATTTTTAATCCTTTATGACAATTTTAAATTTAGACTTCTAGTTCTCAGTATTCATCGGATGCTACTCTCTCTTCTCAGTAATGTTTTTATTTGTCTTTTGCATTCTTGTTATACTTAGAAAACGTGATTTTTTTCTCTTGTGGAAGTATTTTGTATTGTGAATTTTAAAATATTAAACTTAGAATATTTTTATATTTTTTAATATTATTTTAATGTTAGAAAAAAAATTATAAATGTTTTATAAAATTGATCATTTTAAATTTGTTTTCAATTTATAAGAATATGATGGTTTTAAATATTAATTTATCTTATCATTATTTTAAATTTTGATATTTAATTTATAAAAATATATATGTATAATAATAAATTTAAAATAACACATAAAAAATTTTAATACCTGATGCATACTGTTTTAATAATAAAATGAATAGGTATACTAATATGGTATTGGCTATTGACAACTTTGATGGCAACAACGACAAAGTGGCTGCGCGCATCAAATGGATGTTTTTTGATTTTGGAAAAAAAATTCAGGTTCCATCTAAGCAGGAATTATTTTTTTGTCATTTCGTTTATTGCCAATCCACAAAAAAATGGCCATCTCAGCAGAATCTTGCCATATCGTCAACCAGGTGACGACTTGGTTGCTGAGTTGGATGCAACATCACTAACGTATGTCGACGTAATGTCCAAAATCAGCAAAATCGTGCCACGCAATGATGCAGTTAACGGAATGTAACAGGCACATGCTCTGCACGTGATCAACAAGATTACTTTTGGGTTTTCCACATGTTTTTAATTATTCAAAGTAGGGGTGTTAATATCCGATCCAATCCGATTGATCCGACCTAAACTGATCCAATCCGATTAAAAACCAAACCAAACCGATATAAAATTGGGTTGGTTTGGATTATAAAAAT